CCAGTTAAATTTATGTAGTTTTAGCAACTAAAATAGTCAAAGACAAAAAATAATAACAACTCTTGAACAGTTTCATTTTTGAATTTTGTTAAATATATCTATTAACATCAAACAGTCACTTTCAATTAATTTTAGCAATGCTAACTTATTGGTAAGATAATTAAATATAATTTATATTCAATGTATATAATCATTTATATAGAGGGTGGACAAAAGTATTCGCATATTCTTTATAAATGTAAATTAATATTAGTAAAGTTATATAATCACAATAATAAATGTTTATATAACACTTAAGTGTTTACTTATATTATAAAAATAAAGAATAACAATTTATTTTTTTAAAATAAATTTTTCTACTCTGAAAATCTAAAAAAAATGGTAAAAATCAAAGAATTAACTGCAATGATTTTTCAAGCAAAAAATAATCTTTGTACATTATCTTAGCCTGCTCAAAGTCTCGATCTTAATCCAATTAAGAATCTTTAGGCTGAAGTCAAGAAAAGCATCCAAGCTTATAAAATCCTCTATTTAATCTTAACTGATATGTTAAAAAAGCATGACAAGAAATTCTGAAGCATACTTTTAAAAATCTAATTAATAGTATATCGCAATAAATTCAAGTAGCGATTGTGGTAAATGGTGGCCCAACTAAATACTAGTTACTTAGTATAAAATGTAGATATTAATCAGCTTTTAATAAAATTTAATTGATTTTTTATTATTATTGCAAAAATATTTTAAGTTTTATATTGTGTGAAAAAGTGTATGAATACTTTTGTTCACTCTCTGTATATTGCAGCTTATAATAATTTAGCTTGAATTTCAAAGGAAGTTAATTTTCATAGTATTGTGGGAAGATTTCTTGTGTTTTTTAACTAAAATTAAGATTTTATTGTATTTCAATCTAATAACATCAAATAATTAAAATGCAAAATAATTGAAATATTAATAAAACTTTCACAAATCTTGATATTAAAACTTAATAAAGATATTTATTTATATTTTCACAATAATAATGTTATAGCCGCAGAATATTCTTAATATTGAAAAATTCAATTTCATCTATTTTAACTAATTGTAAAGTGTTTAAAAGCTCTATGTTTTTAGCATATTTAGAAATATTTTTAAGAATTTCTAAATCAAAATTTGAATTTTTAACAAAATTAAGACTTATTGCATTTTATTCTAATGATATCAAATCAAATGCTATAAAAATAAAAAATTTCTGTACTTTCATAAACTTTTTATATTCTGAAGTCTTATCTAAAGAGCTATACAATTTTAGATTTTATTGTTCAAAATTTTTTATTAGTTAAATCATAATAATGTATACAAAATTAGCTTAATGTAATAGTCAAATTAAATAATTTTCCATATTTAGGTATAATTATTTGCTATTTTACAGTACTTGAATTATTTTTTAAAGAATTTCAGTACACAGTCAATAAGAAAAGGAATTCCAGAATGAATGATACCCAAATATGCCCGAATATTTTGTAATGTTTACTATAGTACTATTTATATATTCAATTCTAGCTTTAATAATAATTACGTTAGGATGCAAAAAAGATATAGATTTTTTATACTTATTAATGTTTTTTCCAAAATAATGATAGAAATAAATATTCATCATTACCTTCTAACAAAGCAATCTAGCTATCTATACTAGTAAAATTACATATTTACTATATTAATACTTACTTTGTCAACAAACATGCTTTTCTTCATATTCAGCTTTGTTAATTTTATTAACAAAATATGTATGAGGGTGTACTAATGAATCTAATTACTTACATATATCTAATTTTTTTTAAGTTTTCTAGTAATCAGTTATCTGAAATATTTGTAACTATATCTCATACGTTCATATACCGGTTGTATCTAGTTCTAGTCCTTTTTGCTATTTCTCAAATTAGTCTAAGCCACTAATATTATTATCCTTCGTGATAAGCTATGCACTTCGAGTGTTGTATGACTTTTCCTAGATGCTGTCAGTATAAAGTATTCTGGCCAATTACTAAAAAGAGGAGTCTTTGCTAACCTAATTCAGAATAGCTGTCTGACATAATTATTATACCCAGGCTGTCAAAATCATCCTGAGAATTGAACTCAGGCTTCTCAAATCCTAATTGGTTTCATAGACGCTACAGTATTTTAACTAGAAACTACTTATAATTCACAACTCTTATTCAATCCAAATTACACAGTGTTTACCATTGATTACTTATAATATATTATCAAGAGTGACCCCCTTGCAGACGATGTGACATTTATCTATTACAGGCTAGCTCTTTTACACAAGTTTCAAATTCAATCAGTTCTATATACACGTTACTACTTGTATAGCCACACAGATTTACTATATTCTACAAGTTCATGATCTTTATCGCACATGGTTTAATGCATTCTATAATATTCATTCCTAGAATCAAACTGGTAAATTCTGCAGTAAATTAATACTGCAATCTGCATTTGGCTGGTGCTGAACTACTTACATATATCTAATATAAAATTAAATTCAATTATTATTTTTTTTAAAATAAAATAATTAAAAGTTGCTCATCATTTCTCTATATCCTTAATTTGCTTTTTTGTTTGTTGTAAGAAAGGTTGCATTTAATCAAATCTTATTTTCTGCTCATCTAGTTTCTTATTAACAACTGCTAAGGTGTTAAACCATATTGCATCACATTATTAAATATTGAACAAGGAATGTTGCTCTGAAAAATTCTTGAAATAAAATATTTTCAGCCTCATAATTAAATAAGTCAATCATTATAAATACATAACATAATAATAATAAATAATATTAATTTTCTTATATATATACAACATTAAAATTTAATAATAATAATGTGATCACCAATATTTATGATAAAGATAAGAACAAGGTTCAAAAATATTCAAATAGACTTTAAAAGCTTATCCTTTTTAAATGAAAAATTTCAATTAAATATTAAGGTTTATTTGACAACATTTTTCTCTATTACAATAGAAGAAGAGCAGTTTCAATTATGCTGTAAAGTATTTTAATCACCTCATTAAAATAATCTGAAAAATGGGAGATTTTTTTAGGATATCATTCACTTACTACTGTTAGGCTATTAGGTATTCTCATCATATTTGTTTTTGAAATGATGACGCGTATGGTTAACTGTCTATATTGTGGAAATTTGATATTATTTCACCATGACATTTGAATTATACCACGGATTGTATAAAGAATAAAAATGATAGACAAATTTTGAAATAAGTTGTTTATAAAAGTATAATAAAGTACTAAAATTAAAAATAATTTTAAATATATTAGTTTGATTTAACAGTTAATTAATAAAGAAGCTCACTTTCAGAAAAAATAGACTGTATTCATATCAATCCTAATTTGTTGTTGAACAGTTTACATATACCCACTTCATTGTTATAATTTATATTATTGTCAAGTTTGAGGATAACAGTAAATGTTGTAGCAGGGTATTCAGCAGTGTACCAATTCCAAAAATGTTGAAAACGTTCAGAAGTAACAGGTTCAGGAGGATAACAAAATAGCAAGATCTATAGTTCAAATTAAATGAAAATGTTTGTTAAATGAATTATTATGGTACCTACTGGCAATACAATTGATTGTTTATTTAGTATATATGTTGGTATTGATTAATATCTATATATTTATTTGTTTAAAAAACATTAATAATTAAGGATTTATTAAATACATTACTTTAGTTTATTTTAGTTTTCATTCATCTTTATTTTCTCTTTATACTTGCTTTTAAATTAATACATATGTTAATTTTTTGTTTTAATAGATGAGTTACAACCAGTCAAATATATATACGATATGTAAAGAAATAAATAAAAAATGGTGATTTTGATATAATATAATCTGCAGTATATACTTTATTCGATCCATTCGAGGAAGATGATTATATGGAAATAAGATTATCAAACATCAAAGAGTTGGTATGACAGGAATACCATAATTTGTTAAATTATTTAGATTTTCGGCCGGTTTTATTATACAAAGGAAATTAGTTTCTTGTTACTAAACTTTATGTTGTTTAATTGATGTTTAAAATTGTGGAACCCACAAAGAATTGTCTATAAATTGACGGATCGCGCTTATTTGTTTTTACATGAGGCTCTGCCTTCATATAGTTCCACTCTATCCAACAAAATATTTATTATTCCTTTGTTTGATATCGTTCTATATAGAGAATGCAAATGAAAAAAGAAGATACAACTCATGAATTTTAAAAAAATATCAAACGAGTGAAGTTCCAAGAAAAGACATCACAACTTTTATCTAATTGATCATTAATAAATATATTCCAATTAATCAAGCTTAAATGGCCAACCGAATTTTAATAGTCACGTGTAAATTTCCGAGTTATTTTGTTCCGATTTTAAGTCGAAATTTTTTTTTTTTCGGGCGGGTACAACAAAACTTTTAGTTCGGACCTATGGCGCCGATCGGATTCTGAAAAATACAGTAATTGAAAAATACAGTAATCTCGAAGCACTAATAGTTTGTAGTTGTCTTTATAAAAAAAAATGTAACGTTGAATTCTTTTTTAACCAGTTCTTGAATTTTGGCAACCATTAGTTTAATTTGCTTTGTGTCACAGACGAAGCGAAAATCACAGTACTGATCGAAAAAATATTAATATGATTTTCTTCTATTGTGGGGGAATGTTTTGGTAAGTTTCAGAATTAATTTTTGGCTCCTCGAATCGTCAACAATTATATTATAAAATACCGGTATATATTATTAAGATCGCAGTTTTGATACGTAACAAATGTTTTGTCACAGCTTGTATTACTCTTTAATATTATAAAAATTTTAAATGTTAAACAAAGTCAAAAAATTATTTGATTTTATTTATTATTTAATGGATTTAATCAGAGCATTTAATCGTGTTTAAATGTATCTAAATTAAATACAATTTTATATATTACAATTCGTTTAAAAATATCAAATTTTGATCTACAAATGCAAGCTATTAAGCAATCTCTCCGGTTTGTTCATGAGTTCTACCAAACATGCTGGTTGGTAAACTATGTCTGTAATTCGCTTTGGTTGGTGTACTTTGTCTAAAATTCACGCTGGTTGGTAAACTATGTCTGAAATTCACGTTGGTTGGTGTACTTTGTCTAAAATTCACGCTGGTTGGTAAACTATGTCTGAAATTCGCGTTGGTTGGTGTACTTTGTCTAAAATTCACGCTGGTTGGTAAACTATGTCTGAAATTCACGTTGGTTGGTGTACTT